TTGTGAGGATTTTTGTTTTCTTTATGTTGAGATGTAATCCATACTGCAGACTGTATTCTTCAACCTTCATCAGTAGGTGCCTTAAGTCATCCTCACTGTCATCCTCACTTTCAGCAAGCAGAGTCAAGGTTATAAGGACAAAAAAGAAAGATGAGACATGATTTTAAAGAAATAAAATAGTGGAAAGTCTTCAAGGTAGATATGGTTATGGATAAAGATAAGAGATTAGAATAAGGTTGCCAAGGCATAAGGCTTTCTAACAATGTGCTATACAAACCAGAAGTATATACATCAGAACAAAGCACACACTCCTTAAGTGAGATTAGTCACACCTTTTCTCTATTATTTCTTTCTGGCTTCAGAATTGGATTTATGATACAGATCTCAAAAAGGTCTGACTGAAATAATAACAAAGATTTTTTTGGCAGACAGGAAGAGTAAGAATGGTATCTAAAATTCTAAGATTAATGAGATAGGGCTTGGACTTCCAGTAACATAGCAGAATAGGCAGACAAGCAACACACTCTTCAACAAAGAAAAGAGAACCCAATTGACACAGATACAGAAGATAATCCTGGAGCCCTGAGCTTTGAAAGGAAGGGGATTAAACACCAACTAGTAGAAGAACCTGAATGAAAATAGTGAATAAGAAGACAAACAGAGCTGTGGACAGTCAATTATCCTGATGGCACAGACTGAATATTTCCAAGTGGTGTTAGTACCTAGAATTAACCTAAAAATCAGTCCTGTTCACCAAGGGCTGCATGGACAATTGCACTGGTAGCTGATGACTAAAAAGGGAAACAACAAAGAACGGGAAAAACTGAGCTGTGAACTTTCAGCTGTCCAGAGGGCACAGCCATTTTGAGTGTTTACAACTGGCAGCCATTTTGGATATTTAAAGTACCAGTGTTCTCATTCAGATTCCATGGACCTAAGACTAGGTTCCACTTAATGAGGATAGCACAGACATGCCATAGGCTGACAACTGGAAAGGTGCCATATTCCCCTTGTTACTCTTATACCCCACACCATGTTGGTGAACAGAGGTGTTGCTATCCCTCAACTTCACCCACCTTCTGGGCCTGGAGGAATTCCATCCAAGTCTGTGTGCTCTGATTGCCTTACCCTGCACCCCCAAACTTGTTTTTGTTGTTGTTTGTTTTTAATTTGCTTCTTCTTGAATTCTTTTTTTTTTTTTTCTTCATTTTCATTTTTATTCTTTCTTTTCCCTGCCCAGGTTCTAGTTTTGGGTTTTTTTGTTTGTTTGTTT